GTTCCAAAGACAAAATTTCATTATCCACTGTTTTATTTTCAATTTCTACTATTACTAAAAAACTAACATTCGCATCTAGTTCATCTTCTCTAAATTTGAGGGCTATAAGTTCTTCGAGATCACTTATATTGTAAATTAGATCATTCTCACTACTTTCGCTGTCACTATCATTGGTAGGCGTTTCAATATTTGGAAGAAGAGGCAAAATATTTATATTGTCAGGTAATATGTCTTTATGCCGTTTTTTTCTCTTCTCTATTCTACCTTTTTTAGCACAGTCATTATATATAGCAAACTTTTTAATTTTACTTCCACTGAATCTCATAAATTCATTAACCGAAATGAATTTTTTGCAATGAGAACACCACTCAGTTTTATTGTTAGTGTCGTGAGTAGTATCGTTAGGATCATGAGTTGAAATGTTAGAAGTAGGATCATTAGGGTCGTTAGTTTGAATGTTAGAAGTAGATATTTTAATTTGGAATAACATCTTAGAGGAATTTAGAGAATTTTTTTATTGAGGGCTGATTTATAAAAGTCTGTGTATACTATAACTAAAACTTTTGAATCGATGCGATGTGGCATTATTTATACATATTAACTTAATAAAATTTGAAAGTGATACTTTATTTTTTCAATAATTAACAAATTAATTTAGTTTTTACTTGGGTATAAACTGATTAATTAACATTCAAGCGCGTTATTAAACATTAACTACGATATTAAAATTTATGCAAGTTTTTGTTGCCATATATTAGCATGTTATCAATCATTATTAGCTTTAAATTATTTGCCAAATACAAAATTTCGCTTTTCTCTATATATTATCATATATCGATTTATTAGATTATACTTGAACGTTTAAATTATTTGCCAAATACAAATTTTCGCTTTTCTCTACATATTATCATATATCGATTTATTAGATTATACTTGAACGTTAATTAACGTGTCAAAAAAAAATTTTGCATATACTGATTAATATACAAAGATTAATTTAATTAATTAACAG